CAATTAATTTTTTTTTCAATTAATTTTTTTCCAAATATTTTTTTCCCAATTAATTTTTTTAATTATTTTTTTTTCCAATTATAATGCGTGTGATCCCATTATCATAAATAACAAAACATAAATATAAATATTTTAGGACTGAATAAACGTATTTTTTAGTTTATGTTTTTAAAAATTTTCAAACATTTTGTTCAAACTAAACGCGTTTGTAGTTTATATTTTTCTAAAAATAAACAAAAAATAAACAAAAATCAGTTTATAAAATTTTTACAAATATAAACTGAAAACGTAAACGTTACCAAACAGACCCTTATTTGAATGATTAGGTAGGTGAAAAATTGTAAAAAAAATAGTACAAAAAAGCATTTACTAGAACTGTGTTTTATTTTTCATCAAAAATAATAAGATTTGGTAATAAAAAAAAATACGGAATGAAACTTTTTTTAAAAATATCAAAATTACTCTTACAAAAAAAAAAAAAAAATCCAATCTTTATCCTAGGGTTTCATATAACTATTTCACTATGCTATTGAAGACGGTCCAACTATTGATTGCAAGACTCTGGCGTTCCTTTATGCTGGACAACTTCCCTCTACTCACCAGGTTTTTGCTTTTTTGATTCAATAAACTTTTTATTACTATATATCTACATATTATATTTGAACAAACAGAGTGCTGCAAGGTTTATCTCTTTATGTAACTTTACTGAGTTGAGATTTTTAATTTTTTGGTAGCGAAATTTGTGTAGTCCATATTTCTCATTGTTGTATTTTTAATTTTATTTTGTTATTTTTACTATTCATTTTTCTGCAATAATTTTTGGCTAAATGGATGAAACCCTAGCGAAATTTTAACTCTGGTTTTTTCGATTCTCTTACCAGTGACTTTAATGATGGATCAATCCTCAAAACTCAGTGATTCTAAAAAAAAAGATCGGATCAGCAATTTGCCAGACGAAATTCTTTCTCATATATTGTGTTTTATGCCCACGAAATATGCTGCCCGAACCAGCTTATTATCTACCAGATGGAAATCCATTTGGACTTCAGTCCACATTATTGACTTATACAGTAACGAGCAAAGTTCTGGCTTCATTGATTTTGTAGACAGACTTCTGCTTCTCCGCAATTCCTCAAATTTAAATAAGTTTCGCCTTCAATGTCAATATGGGTACCGTCATCCGTATCGTCTTAATTCATGGATTTGCACCGTAATCAAGCTTAATGTTAAAGAGCTTGTTCTTAATTTCAAAACTGATCAGGTTGTCGTTGAATTGCCTCAAAGCCTATTTACCTCTGTCAGTCTTGTGGTTTTGAAGTTAGCTGGTGCTGTCTTTTTTGGGTTTCCTATGCCAGTTTTTTTGCCAAGTCTCAAGGTCCTCCATCTTCGTTCATTGAAGTTTCTGCATGATGATTCTTTCCAAAACATCCTCTCTGGCTGCCCAGTCCTTGAAGAACTGGACATAGAGAGGACTAATCTATGGGATAACATAAAGACATTATGCATTTGCTCATCTACTCTGAAGAAATTACGTATGTATAACAACTTCTGTGGAACAAGTTTCCAACAAAAAAGTGTCGTGATTAAAACCCCAGTTCTTGAAATCCTTCAGCTTACTGACATGTACAGTGTTTTTGATGTGGATGAACTCCCCTCCTTAGTTAAATTAAATTTTACAATTTGTTTTGTCGATCACAGAAGTGAGGATTACTATAATGGTGTAGTTGGGATGCTTGGAAAGATTTCTAATGTTCAGCATTTGGAATTAAGGCATGGCATCCCCAAGGTAATTAGCAGTTTAATGTTATTATGGTCATCAGTTCATTAATGCTCTTTTAAGTTGAGTTTAAATTCTCACCTAAAAAAATAATAATAATAAAATCTTTTTCAGGTTGTCATTGAAGCTTTTCACTACAATAAACTGTTGCTTCATAATTTGACCCATTTGCACTTGCAAATTTACGATATTCAATGGTCAATTTTGCTCGACTTGCTTGGCCACCTGCCTAATTTGAAAGTTTTAGTTTTCAACAAGAACAAGGTGAGTTCATTTGTTAGAGATCATTTCAGTTTTTATTATTATATATTTACGGGTATATTTGATGCTTTTATTGTGATTATTTTTAGGGTCACAAGAACTTGGAGTTGTGTTTGTGGAGTGGGGAACCAAAGAGTGTGCCAAAATGTCTGTCACTCTGCCTGGAGGCAATTGAATTTAGTGGATTTGCAGGGTATAAGGGGGAAATGGAGCTGGTAAGGTATCTTTTGGGGAATGCAATGGTTTTGAAGAAGCTGACTATTACGTCTTGGACTAGGAGCAAAAAAATAAAGGCAGATGTTCTGAAGTTTCCAAGAGGCTCAAGCACATGTCAACTTAAATTGCTCTACTATAGGTGTCCCAAGTACCCATGAACTTGTCTAGACACAGCGTCATAACAAGATAGATTGGATTAGAACCAATTGATGTTATCATTTGTGATAACCTAACCCGTAATATGTTTAATTATTCATGTGATTATGTGTTTGATATGAATTTGCAAGTTCAGTATGTGAATTATGTGATTTTGGAATTATATCTGTTAAATGTAGAAATATATGTTGCAATTACAACTTTGAATTGAAATTGAAAGCCTTAGAGGTGTCAGAAATCAAAACCGACTTCATTTTCGTGTTTAACATGATATTCAGAGCTTACTGTGCAATTTTGTAAAATTACGATTCGTAATGATTAATTAAGTTAATTAGCCTATGCATATATACGTATATAGCTTCTTGAGTTTACCATTCTCGAGAACTTTTGCTAGAGAGTGAGTTAGAGAGAGAGGAAGAGGAAAAGCTAAGGATTTGAAAGAGATTCAAGGGGCAAACCCTAGATTACGGCTAAGGTATGAAAAAAATACTTAAAATCTTTGTATATAGCTCATCTTTTGCTTGAAATCAAGAGAAAATTAGAAATTTTGGGTTAGGGTTTTGGTTTGTGTAATGGTTTGAACTAAATTCAAGAAATCTCTTCAACTTTGTGTGATTTGAGCTCAATCTTGTGATTTATGCATGAAATAAACTCTAGATGGTTCATACAACCAAGATTTGTTGAAAGATTCACCAAGTTTTTATGTGTTTTGAGCTTGATCATGTAATTCATGAATGTATGAAAAAGATGAGATCATGAATTTGATGTTGAAGTACGATTGATGTGTTTGAAGTGAAATTACACTTAAATCATGTTAGTATTTCATGTTTTTGAGCTAGCTTTGCATGGATTTGGGCTTGGAAATGAGTATGGCAAGAGGGGCCACTAGCGGAGAAAATGTGTTGACCTCTCCGACCTTGTGAACACGTTCTTGATCTTATTTAAACCCTCTAGATAACGAAAGGATGATTTGAAACCATTAAAAAAGATTGTGAATCACTAAAAGAAAAGTGTGAAATGAACGAATTATTTATCGAATGTGTGTGTGACATGCTTTACATATGTCGCGTGTCGGAGGAAACGCCGCAAGATCAAACGCACTGTAAGTAATAGTATTGTAAAGTTATGATTCTTAATTGATTACTTTTGAGCCATGAATGGTGATTTATGCTGACATTGTGTTTTGATTGAAATGAATGAAGTTCATAAATGTTATATGACATATGCAATGTGGATTTAAGGTCGTTTTGTTTATGCTATGATATGTTTGGGCTCGAGGCCGTTTTGTGGGCCTAAGGCTGTTCTGTACCATGTGTGGGCCCGAGGCCGTTCTGTTAATGATATGATAATATGTGATTGAACTCGAGGTCATTCTGAACAACTGTTAATATGTGGGTCCGAGGCCGTTCTGTACCATATGTGGGCCTGATGCCATTTCAACAATGATAGGCCTAAGGCCGTTCTTCTCATATGATGGGTCTGAGGCCGTTCCGTATTATGTTGGGCCCGAAACCGTTTCGTAATGTGATTATGGATTGTAGGAAACTTATGCTCATTCATTTAAACCCCTTTACTGTATTATTACTCATTGAGTTTCGCTCACTCTGTATTATGTATGCACATATAGGTGATCAGCACCATGAAGCCCAACCTTAGAGTCTGCTTCAGGAGTTATTTTGCAAACCTATTGAGTCAAGCCTCCAAAATGGAGCTTTTGCCTTTGACTCACATTATGCTATGACTTTTGTTTCGACTTTGCTATAATGGTCTTGAGATATGTAAACTATATGTATGAAATTTCCTATGGTACATAAGTTTTTGCATGGACATATAAATGTGTGAATGTGTTATAATGTAAATTGTATAATTTTGCTCATATTGGCACAGATAATGGATTTCTTCATTTGTGATATGCTTCTGTTTATGGCCCCATTATTATAATTATTCTACATGTTTGTATGAGGCTGAAGGTAATTAAGTGAATACTGGCGGTTATGGTCTAAACCTTTAGGGACGAGTTTGGGTCATGACATCAATAATGTCTTTCCTCTTGGATGTAGCACTTGAAAGAGCTGAAAAGACTGTAAGCTTCCTGTTTGAGAACTAGATGTACGTCACTTTCTTTTAACATAGCTTTGTTTTTAAAAGGCTAGTGGAAATCATTGTAAAGACTAGATAGTGTTTGGCTTATTGGAATATATATATATATATATATAGAATGTTCATTCATTAATCTCTCTATAGAATGACCGTTCACTTATAATGATGAATGATGATTTTATTTGCAATATATTATTTTCGTCATCATATTTTAATTTATATATGGAATCATCATTATATTTCCTAGCACTGCTTAAAGATGAGCCACAATACTTAAGTCTATAATTCATCAGACAAACAATTAGTTGAGACTTGAAGAACGTTGTATGACTTGGAAGTGAAATGATTTGAATCCCTTTTGTTCTTACCTTTTGTTCTTATCTCGACACTTGATTAACGGTTTGATTTACATTCTCCTCGTATGAATGAATTTTGTTTGCTAATTCAGTTCAGACTATTTTGAAGAAGAGCTTTAGTTTTCCTTTTGCTAATTAACATGTAAATCTCCTCGGGTAGCTCAGGACTGAATGGATGAATGTTGAATGATCTTAAGATTTACTTATATTGTTACTTCTTTTCTCTCTTGGGTTATTAGTGGTGCTGGTAACATTTATCTAAACATGGAATTGCAAATGGAATCAATTCAAGTGCAAGATGAGCAATTGATTGATATCTACAATAGCATCTGTGGAATGATTAAGGCACAAAGCTAGTTTAGCTGGTTGAGTTGTTAATAGTTTGCCTTTAAATCCCACCTTTATCTGGGTGGGGATGGATAAAGTGAGTCGTATGCAATTGAATGGGAACACAGCAGCGCTGGAATTCTTGATCCACTAGATAAATTTTGATACTCGTAGATATGTATTAATTATTATATTTTGAGTATAAGGGGAAAAAAGAACAAAAATAAAAAGCTTACAACAGTAAACAAAAGTTACTGTCACCACTAACTATTTCATAGAACAATTGAGGAGATGTATTGATTGCAAAGCAAATATTGGATCAACCTTGGACAAGATACTTTTTCCTGGATGAGAATAGAGAACACGGGGAACGAACAGAAGTTTCTGCAAGAACCTGCGCATAAAAAAAA